CACACAAAAACAAAAAGAAAGGTAGGAAAGCAAAGTCAAAAAAAAGGATTAAACAAACAAAGTCGAAAGGTTGCACCGTTGCCTCACCACCCCTCCCACCGCCTTCTGATAATAATAATAATCATAAAAAAAAAAAGAACAATCGACGCAGAGGCAAAGTCGCAAGAGAGACCGGACCACATACAGAGGCCCAGATATACACACAACAATGACGCACAGGCCCCTTCCCCACTCACGCAGACACCTAACTGGAAGCGTGGGTTACACCGTCCTCTACGTCACCCTCGTTCACTCCGCTTGTTCACACAATTGCATGCATTTGCACCTCGCGTCCCTCATGCACGTGTGTCCATGTGGGTGTGCGCATAGCCCCTCCATACACACTCTCTCTCTCCATCTATACATCTCTCACGACCGGGGAAAAGTACTTTCATCAATTCTGCACCGCGTAAAAGACGCGCGTCAGCCCTCGTCCGCTTCCTTCCCCGCAGCATGATGCCTGCGACGTAAAGAAAGAAAAAGTGAGAAACTAAAAGGAGGAGACAAACACCCGCACACAAAAAGAGATATTGGCAATGCAAAACGTGAGGGGTGGAGAGAGAGAAAATGAAGAGATAAAAAACTGGCATAAGAGCCGTTGTGGTCGCACACAAAGCAGCAAGCACCTCCGCCTTTTTCCTTTTTATTTATCAGCTGTTGTTGCCTCACTTTGATTTCGCATCATTTTTTTTTTTTTCTGATGCAGCTGTTTGTTGTGGTTGCTCGTTAAGGGAGTGCCGTTTGCCCACCCCCAGTCACTTCATCTCATCTTGTTTGCCTCAGTGCAGGTATTGCCGCTGTTGCTGCTCCTCCTTTTAACATCGGGCGAGCGTTTGTCGGCGCCACCCCTCCCCCTCCTTTAGGCGAGGTCCCACGCCGCCTCGTTGCCCTTCACAACGTCGGAGCCGGTCTGCACAACTTGAAAGTGGGCATCCGCGCGCGGCAGAAGATTCTGGAAGAAGAACTGGCAAAGATCCAGTTTGCATTGGTAGAAGCCATCCGGGTCCTGGTCGGCGGCAACCTTCTTCTCCGCGGCGATGGCCATGCGCAGCCAGTAGTAGCCCAGCACCAGGTAACCCGTGCACATCAGCATATCCTCCGACGCGGCACCCACGGAGTCGATGTCGCTCAAAGCGCACATCCTCACCTTAGTGATGGCCAAGCGCCACTGTTTCTGAAACGTCCATAGCCGCCGAGAAAATTTGCCAATAGGACCACGAGAGAAAAAATGCGAACGCGCAAGTGCGTTCACCTTTCCACTGAAGCGAGCAACCTCGTCCGTCTTAGAGTGCAGCACCTTGCGGTCAATAAAGTCAAGGGACTGAATACCCGTTGTGCCCTCATACAGCGTCGCAATACGCGCGTCACGAAGAATCTGCTCCATGCCGTTACCCTTAATGTAACCATGTCCACCCCATACCTGCAGGCAGCGCGAGGAAGCTTCCAGGCCCCATTCTGTCAGGCATCCCTTGGCGATAGGTGTGTAGAAGTCAATCTCGTGCTCCAGTGCAATCCGCTTTGCTGCGTCCTTGGTGACTTCCTGAATGTCACGCAGACGATCCACATCCATCAAGAATGCACGACCTCCCTCGGCAATGACCTTTGCAAACAGGATATTCTGGCGGACGTTTGGATGCCACACAAGGAGATCGTTTGCTCTGTCAGGGCACTTTGTCCCGCTGAGAGAACGCTGAGAGCCACGCTCACGGGCGTACTTCAGCGCATTCTGAAACGCAAGCTCAGCGTGGCAAATACCCTGTAGCGATGCTCCTACGCGGGCTGCATTCAAGAAAGTTGGCATTTCCTTCACCCCCTTGTTGGGCTGTCCAATAAGGTAGCCCACCGAGTCCTCAAAGCTCAACTGAGCCGTGGCGTTCCCCTTAATTCCCATTTTGGACTCCAACCCCACACATTGGACATTTTTTTTCGGATCCAATGACCCATCTGGTTTTACTAGATTACGTGGAACCAAGAAAAGCGAAATGTCTTTTGTCGTAGACACGGAATCTGGTAGCCTTGCCACGACAACATGAATAATATTCTCCGTCATATCATGCTCGCCGGCGGAGATAAAAATTTTTGTGCCCCGAAGCTTATAGGTGCCATCACTACATGGTTCCGCCTTCGTCCCCACTTGCGCCAAATCCGTCCCGCACTGCGGTTCGGTGAGGCACATGGTGCCGGTCCAATCCCCACTGACAAGCTTGGTGAGGTACGTCTTCTTCTGCTCCTCGCTTCCCCACGTCAAGAGCGTATTCGCGGCTCCCATGCTTAAACCGGAATACATCGCAAAGGGCCAATTGGCTGTTGCCATCAACTCTCGCACAGTGAAACCAACGGATCCTGGCAGCCCTTGTCCACCGTACTCCTCAGGAAATGAAATGCCAACCCAACCACCCTTCTTGAAGACCTCATAGGCCTCCTTAAAGCCCTTGGGCGTCCTCACCGTTCCGTCCTCTAGCAGGTGGCATCCCTCATCATCAGAGGATGTGTAAAGCGGGAAAAGTGTGTGCGTGGCCAACTTTGAGGCTTTTTCAAGAAGACCATCAAAGAGCTCCTTGTTGACGTCAGCCCGTCCCAGCTTTTCGTAGTGCAGATACATGTCGAATACATCTTCCATGAGAAACTGAATATCCCGAATGCGTGGAACATAGTGCAGGCAACGCATGGACGCAGCAACGCAAAGTGCATTTGTCACTCCCTTTGTGGCCCCATAGAAACGGCGACAAAACATGTTTTCCTGTCCTTGTTCTTCTTTTGTTTCCTTCCTACCTTCTTTCTTTTCCTTGCGAGTCGTAAGTGGCTTCCCCCCAGTTTTATCTTTCTGTTGGCTTAACAAACATTCTCAGGTAAATTGAGGTGGTAGGAGCGGGGGTGGGGATGGTCAATGGTAAAAGGCCAAAGAAAAAAAGAAAATAAAAAGCAGTAAAGAAACGGCGTCTCACACTTCACCCTGCTCCCAAAAGACAATAATTCCTTTAAGCAAAACCTCCCACACGCACACACGTGTGCGCTCAGCCGTTGTCGTTGTTTTTACCCCCCCCCCCCCATCACTCGTGCCCAATTGCTCCACCTGTTTTCCGATGGGTGGTCCATTGGTGGTTAGGTAGAGAGAGACCTCTGGGGTGCCGTCACAACAGCGCAGAATGAGATATCCTTCATTTCATTCTTCCTTAAATAAGGTACGTGGCTGAGTTGATTTTCTGTTTTATTCTGTGGTTCTGTTGTTGCTTTTGGTTCTTACTATGTTCCTCCCATTCATCGTCTGCTTTATTCTGTACCTTCGGCTCGACGCCCCGCACCCCGCTGTTGTGCCGCAGCAGCGCCCATGGGACGCTCTCCATGCGACAGGCAAATGCGAGAGAGGGGTGGCGCACTTCCCACATGCCCCATTCGCTGATGCCCCCCCCCTCCTCCCACACACACGCACACCACCTCCGCCATCGTCTTCCTCTCTCGTTACTTCTTTTCCTTTCCGTGTAGACGCTGTTAAATTGTCGTTAGTTATATATATATATATATTTATGTGTATATAAACATACTAAAAGTGAAAATAAAAGTTATTCCTCTCCCTCCGTTCCCTGTTGTGTGCGTGTGTGTGTGTGTGTGTGTGTGGGAGGGGGGCAGCTTTGGCCTGCCCGCGTAGCAGCGAGGTGAAGGAAGCGATGGGGAAATTCGTGTTGCATTTTGCTGTAGACTGGTGTGCGGCGGCTGACGGCAGTGACCGGCCCTCTTCTTTCCTTCTCTCTTCCTCTCTCACACACACCGATTGACCGCCTGCGCCTTCGCTACGCGCCGCCCCTCTCAGTATTACTTGTGTTACGTTTTCTGTTATTGTTATTTATGATCTCAGTGCCTTTTTCTTCCTCGCTTCTTTCGCTGCTGCACACACACAGACATGGGGGATACACAAAGAGAGAGGAAAAGGGCGAGGAGCGCCGGCGGCGCACGCGTTCCCCACTCACCGCTGCCCCCGCATTGCTTTTATTTTTCTCGCTACCTCCGGTCACACACACACACACATGGCATGGAGCCTCTTCCTCCCTCCCGTCTATGTCCTCGGCGAGGCAACGCAGCGGCACCGTCAGCGGCGCCTCGCACCCGGCGGCAGACGCATGCCATGCCCGCAACCGACAGCGATAAAACACAAAAACCAAATAAAACTTGCAGAGACAGGCATCAAAGAAAAAGAGCAAAAAAGAAATATATGTTTCCCCACCCCCTGCCCTGCTTTTTTTTTATTCTCGTTTTGTTACCGCAAAAAAAAAAAAAAAATAGAAGGCAAGCAGGGCGGCAACAACAAAAAAAAAAAGGGAGAAGAACAACGGCGGCAAAAACAAACAAAAATCTACTGCCACGTAAAGGCCGGCGAGGTATGCGCCTGCCACATTGCTGAGCGTGGCGGTGTTGTTAAATGGTGCGGCGCTCCCTCCACATGGATGCATGTGTGTGAAGAAAAACCGTGTGGGACTCCCCCCATAACAATCGCCCGCAGCTCACGAAGGAAGGAGATCGCAAGGGATAAAACCGTCAGGCAAACACGCGCAAACACACCTCGAACAAAAAAGAAAACCAAAAGACAGGCATACACGACAGATCCATATATGCCGTAAAGCCTCATCCACAAAAACTGGGGCCGGACAGAGTCCTCATTCTCATCCTCTTTGCTCCATTTTGTGGCGGCTTCCTTTTCTGGCGGAAGGGTGATCTGCGCCGCTCCCACATCTCAGCACTATATATATACATATATATATATGTATATATATATATCTTCTTTTGCGTCCTCCATTCTTTTTTTTTTTTTTACATTTTGTTCGGTCGTTCTCGTCTCCATAAAAGCAGGCAAACCGCAACGTTTTCTCTGCGGCCCTGCCGTCGCACCCGTTGACTCCCTGTTGCCGTGGTTGTGTGCGGATGGGGCAGCGGGGCCTAAAGATGGAGTCGATGGGGAAAAACGGGAAAAAAGAAGGTGCGCAAGATCGAAGTGAAATCATCCATCAAACATCGCTGCGACATTAAGTTGTTTATTTTACTTTTATTTTTATTTTATTTTTTTTTTTTTTTACTTATTTTGTTTGTTTGTTTTGTGTGCGTGTATGCCCTTGTGGTTTTTATTCCATGGATCCCTCTCCTCGCTCCACCCACTCCCCCCTCCGCTTCGCATCCCCATTGCTCATCCTTTTTGTCCGTTACTCTGCGTTGCTTTGCTCCTTTCTCCACTTTTTCCCCTCCTTAATATATATATATTAAAGAGAAGTATATGATCTTCCTCTTCTTCTTTCCTTGCCTTGGCCTTACTCTGCGCGTGCGCTGTCGAGGAAGAAACGGAATAACAAAAAAAAAAGCCCCCGTCGCTCTTCCTTCTGTATTCCGCCTTGCCTTGTCACGTCAAATCCTTACAATGTGAAGTCCGGTGTTATTCTTGTAGGTTTCCCCCGCATTCGCCCCGCCGTCGCACCCGCCGCGCCCACCTGCGTCTGCTGGTGGGAAAAATACTCCAGCTTCTGCATCGGCTTTGCGCCGATGACTTTTTCTAGCAGGCTTCTGAGGCTGACGGCCATAGCCTTAAGCTTCCGCTGGTCAGAGTTCGCCGTCCATATCTGCACCGTTGTGGGCTTGTTCTGTCGCACCTTGAGCATGACGCCGTTGAGGTTCGTTGTGCTCTCCGCGAGTGTCTCCCCGCAGCAGGCCATAAGCATCGTCATAAAGGCGTCATCCATCGTCTGTTTGCTGTTGTGTCCTGGCTTGTCGCGGTCAAAGATGACGATGGTGATGGTGCCCCCGTTCTTGTTGCGGGCGTGCTCCCAGTTGGGCTTAATGTCCCGACGAAACCAGTGATATGTGAAGGGGGGTACCAACGCCGACGGGGGTGGTAGGTATCGCCAAAGGCGCCAGAAACACTCAACGTCCCCAACCAAATGGACAAGGACGGGATCGTAAGCTAGTGGAGCCCCAAACGGGGTTGGGTGATCGTCAGCGTATAGTGCCCAGACGGTGTTAAACCGTACCAGTTCCACAGGAGGGGGCTTGGCGAGAACGCTTACCTCAAAAACGCTGGGGAGGCCTGAGCCGCTAAAGTCATTCTCCACTGCCTCGCCTAAAGCGCCAGTTTGCTGAAAAGGAATGCTACTATTTTCATCCGTCACGGAGACGGAACCAAGTGAACCCTCTTGCACAGTGGGGTCCAATCGATTGGCAATTCCTAGCGTCTGCACCTTTTGTGCCTGAGGCGACTGGTCTTTTTTCACTTCTTGCTCCTCTTGAGCTCGTTGTTCTTCCTGCTGAGGCTCCACATGCGCCGTATTTGGGGTCGGTGTCTGCATCGCCTCTGGAACCGGCGTCTGCACCGTCTCCTTCAAGTCTGGATTCGGGGCTCCCGGCGATGGCTGAGAGGAAGGGAACCTTGCCGCCACTTTCGGGTTTGTTGGCGTGTACGGAGCCGCACTCAGCGAGAGCGCCTTTGAGCCCGGCGACTGCCGTGAGTCACTCCCCACCGCTGCATTTGGGTCCACGTACTGCTGCGTCTTCTGCGGAGCGAGAACCGGCGGCGGAACTGCCACTGGAGGTTGCAGAATAGATGTAGGTGGCAGTGACGCTGCGGGAATTGTAGAGGACTTGGGAACAAAGGCAGGCGCGGATGCCCGCAGTCTCGTTGTGGATGTAGTGGGAGCCGGTGCCGGTACCGGCGCTGGCGCCAGCGCCGGACATTGCTGCTGATGCGGCGTTGGAACATTTCTGCCCATCATCTGCATAGTTATGGGATCCATCGTCCTCTTCCGTGGAACGAACTCTTGCGCCGCCGGGTTCATTTATATTTTTTAACCCTGCTATTTTCTTCTTATTCTTGTAGTTGTTGTTGATTTCTTCTCTGCCTTGCCCTTAAGCTAACTTGGGCTTGTTCTCTTGCACGATGCTTGTCTGCAGGTGTCTTATCCGAGTGCGGTCAATGCCTGGCACGGTCTCGTTCCAAGCCTAACACGCAGCCACGGGCAAGCACACACACGCACACCGAGACGCCTGTACGACGGTCTCCACCCTTCTACACGCAGTGAGCAGTACGAGAGCGGGAAGGATGCGGCGGCGCGATGCTGCAGGCGGGGCCGCTGTGTAGCGTACGTGCACTGGAAAAGGCGGGGAAGAGAACGACTGCAAAAGTTCGATATGGAGACACCGCAACAAGAGGGATACGCTGCAGCCACACACACACACACACACGCAAGGCAAAAAGCAAAGGAGGAGGATACGTGAAAGCACCTCGCACGATGACAACAACTAACAAAAAAAAAAAAAATCTGCAAGCCAACAAAAACACGGAAAGAACAATAAGGGTTGAAGCAGGTGGCATTGGCACACAATGCAAACAGCGCGGTGGGAGCGACAGCGGTAGTGGAAGGAGCACACGGCAGAAGAATAAAACGAGGGGATGGAGGCGTCAAGCACCTCGCATTTATTTTGCGTCACCCTCTTCGTGTTGTTTGTTTGTTGGTTAGATTTTATTATTATTATTATTATTAATTACGAGCAGCTTTCACGCCTTACCGGGGGCCCCGGCCACCAAACGCTCGGTGGCAGCGCGGCGGTCATATATCCATCACAACCCCGTCAATTACAATCGGCGAGTCTTTGGGGCGACGCAGCCGCTGAACGGCACGCAACAGACATAATATGTCGCCCCGCATCTCTTCGCCGAAGGTCGCCGGCTCCAACTCGCCGGCGTTCAGCCGCTGCAGACACGACCGTGCCTTCAGAAGGAATCGCTCTCCAGATTCACGCAGTGACGCGTCTAGTTCGTCACTCTCGCAGCAGCGCACCAACTGCTCCACCACCGCGACCACCACCGCCTCATCAAGCTCCTCGTCCATCTCATCCTCCTCGTCCTCCTCCTCATCCACCTCGTCTCCGTCGTCTCCACGTTCCACACCCTCATGTGCGTGCTCCTCATCGTCGCCACTGCAGCTCTGCAGCTGACGCTCGTCCACCGTCAGTTGATAGCCACCCACAGCAATCGCCCGCACCAGCCCGTCTCCGTCCACCATGGGCTGCGGACCGGTGAGACCGGCATCCTCACTGCCCGCCGCAGCATCATCCACCTCCTCCCCATCACGACCGCTGTCCATACCACCCTCGTCGCGGAATCGCTTTCTAGCATAGGCAAGTCGTCCAGCCTCCTCTACCTGCAAGTGACGTCGCAGCGACGCCCTCGCGTTGCCACAGCCACCATCCGGCTCACGAAGCGGCAGCGCCTCCACCACCTTCACACCACTCAGAACCGTGGAGGTTGGCGTCACCTCCTCCCCCGCAGTGTCCTCGGTGAACAGCTGTGGCTGCGGCGCTGCTTCATCAGCCAGCAGCGCAGAGTCGTGTGGTTGACGTTGCGCCGCTAATTCGGCCTCAAGCTGCATCTCTTGAAGAGAGTCCAGCGGCGGATTCAGCGCCACGACCCCCGTAACTACAGCTGCCTCGCCGTCTCGCCTCGTCTCGGCCGAGTAGACGTCGTCCTCGTCCTCGCTGCTGTAGAGGAAGACAAGTTTGGTACGCCGCGGCAGTGACTCGTGCGTCTGTTCGTGTGTTGCCAGCAGCTGCGGTGGCAGGGAATCCTCGCCGTCCAGCGTAACCTGAAGATTGTACTCTGCCTCCATATCGAGCAGCTGCTGCACGCCTCTTTTGTCCCCACGTGAACAAAAAAGGAAGAGTGGCGACCAAGCGACTAAGTACGAAAGGAAGAAAGATAGAGAGAAGAAACACACATGCAAACAAAAAAAAAGAGCTGCAAGCAACAGAAGGCTCCAATGCATCGCAGCAGAAGGCAAAACCGCATTCGGTCCACCGCCCCAGATGGCGGCGGGTGGGACCTGCACGGTGGTCACATCAGCAAGACGCAACAAATAAGTTAAACAAGACAAAAAAAAAAAAACAAGAATAGAGGAGGGGGCGCACGGCCGGCCGACACACACATACACCGGCAGCCGGTGAGCCACACCGTTGAGATTGAGGGCCTCCCCATTTACCAAAGTAATATGCGGCCGTATGTCGCCCCCTCTCCCATTCCCTCTTTCCTTCCTCACTTTAGTCATCCCTCAAGTAGTCCCCACCCACACCCCACCCCTCCTTCTTTTCGTTACCTTCATTTTCGGCCCGTGTTTTCGGTTACCACATCTCCACATTCTTTCCCAACGCGGCCTTCTTTGCCCAGTCCCACAACACCACTGAAACGAACCTCCTCATTTTCTTTTATTTCATTTCCCTTCAAACACAAGAAACACATAAAAAACATGTCCTCCTATGAGTTTATTCCCCTCATGTTTATGTTTCTCTGCACTTACGTCTCCTTTTCTCGTTGTGAGTGTTAGTGCCTCCCCACGGTGAGGCACACGCACGCATCAACCAATGCGCGGATATAAATACACGTGAGGCGGAGGGACGAGCCCGGTCAGTACCATACGCCCCTCAGTGACGAGCACGTGCGCGGCCGCGACAATTCCCCTCTGCGCTCTTTGCCTCCCTTTCGCTCCCGCGTGAGCTCCTTCCGTGCATGTCCAATATATAAATAAATAAATGTATTTTTTTTGTTTTATTTCTTTTATGATGATTTCATTGTTTTTTGTTTGTTTGTTTGTTTGTTTTCGTTTTTTTTTTATTTGGTCAATTCGATGTTAGCCCATCGACATCCCACCCACCCACCCACCTTCGTGGGCAGAAGACACATTCCTACAAAAAAAAAAAAGCCTACATCCATGCATCCTTCTCGCCGCTTTAACTCCGCATGATTGCCCTCAGCTTGTCCTCCCGAAGACGCGGTGACTCCGCCCCTCCCACACTATCGGTGATGTACGCAGATGCAGCTTGCCCAGCACGCTCATTACCCTTCAACAACCAAGGCAGCCACAAACATCAATGCGGTGTAGTAACGAGCTGAGAACCCCACACGGTGGACTCGTGTCCCCATCCTAACTCTCAACCCCTCACAACAGCAGCAGCCCCGTTCTACAGATTCGTCAGCTTCTCGGTCACCACAGGTGACACTTCAATCAAAATAATGGCAAGCATGAAACCACCAAAGGCCAGGGCAACAACCAAGGCAACCAAATTCTCCCAGGATAGCATGCGGTGATCAACCTCAACTGGCCAACACGACCCGCTCCCCGCATCGTAAATATGGCCCTCGGGACACGCCTGCAACGGGCACAGAGCACGGTAGCGGGCACACTCCTGCGATGGGGCGGCGCCATCCACGTCGCACTTGAACTCCCTCTTCGTCCTCTCGTCAAGGTAGCACACCGCACCGGCCGGGTTCGTGCCCCCGCTGGACTCAATAAACCGGACAAAGTCGTCGAACGGACAAATGATACCGTCAGCCGTGGTGGCGTCCGTCGGCACCTTGGCCGCGTTTAGGCAACGGAACGGAAAGACGGCAGCAGCAGCGGCACCATCCTTTACCACTGCGTACCGTAGCCGCACGAAACGGGCGTGCGTCGCGTCGTCGCGCAAAAGGTCCACCAGAAACGTCTCGCCTACTGGAGTCGCGTCGCTCGCATTGTGCCCAAGGGTCGTACCGACGGGGACCTGGTGAGCGTACTGCAACAGCCTCTTCGTGTTGCGGTT